TCACGTTCTTGACTGATTTCAGAGGCTAAGTCGTCCCGTTGTTGTGCTATTCGTGCCAATCTAAATGGAACTGATGCAAAACACTTATTTCATAGGATTCGAATTTCAACAACTTGATAAGAAAACTGGACCAAAACGTCTACTTCAGAAAAGATTTACTACAAATGGTGAGAAATCATTAACATCGAAACGACTGGCCAATACGATTTCAACTTATATCTGCTCCGAAATAATGGAGCTTCTCAACTTTTGCGGAATAAAAAAGGCTCATAAAAAATTTAAACCGTAAAAATCACTAAGAAAAAATAAAAATAAGAGTAAAAAACACTAAGAACCACAGTTCTTTCTAGCACTATCTCCTTCTACTACAAAATGATGGAATTCCGATTTTCTTCTTCGCCAAAAAATGCGTTTAAGTGGGGCCCTTCGTTGAGGCTTGCATTTAAGCAGCAGGGCTACTGCAGAAATCGGATTCCGTCTAGGACGTCCCAGGACGCAAAGACGATATTTGCCGTTGCCGTGCTTGGGTAAAACGATTAAATTTTGTCACTCAATCTTTAAAAATTTTAGTTTAAAGCGAGCCTTAAACGAAAACAACATTCTACAATAAATTTTGTAGCGATATAACAAAAACCCATCCATAAAGAAGTTAAGTCCTAAACACAAGTACTCTGGTTATCGAAAAATTGTCGAAGAAAAAACAGTATCGGTCGCTATGTATTGGTAATAATTCCAATCGAAACAGCAAAGACCAAGAAAAGCATTTACTAGGCTTTCCCAAATCACTGAACAAATAGATCTTGACCTTATCCAATATATTTCAATACAAAAACTCACTCTTCTTGCATAGAAGAAGTTTTCTCCTCGAGCATGCGTCGTGTTAACTCCAACTGTTTATTCGTCACTTCATGTTTCTCACGTAACGACTCACAATCCGCTACCAGTGTACGAATTTGACCTATCTGATAAGCACCTAGTTTTTCGTACAAGTAACTGAATGAGGAAGACCCACACAATATAATAAGCCAGTTGACTAAAGTAGTAAAAACAGCAAACACACATCCACTGCATCGTTACTGCTCATTCCTCCTCGACACTGCATACGCAATTTTTCGCTCTGTGCTAATGCCTGATCCTTAGCAGACAACATTAGCTCTAGAGCTCGTTCACGTCTCTAGGAATAAGAGTTAAAAACATAAAAAAAAACACAGATATCCCTCATATAAGGGATCTCGAGCCATTTAGTCGCGAGGCTACGTGGCGCACCCCCAGGTGGTGGACAGGGGGTTAGTCGCGAACCAATAGCGACCTTTGCTTCCGAGGGGCAGGTGGATCCAGGGGATGGACTCCGTTTCTGCTGTGCCGACTTCGCACATACTTTCTGTATTTGCTAGGCGTATTCATGCATGCGTGTGTGGGTACGTTCTAGTCTATGCGAATTGTATTCCACGAGTCAATTCGGCCAAAAGCCTGCAATCAAGTGACTGGGAAGTATATGGGAGGCGGTTAGGAGTCGCCTCCAATAAATAAGCACCATGTCCACTCTGGGAGAGCCTGGCAAGGTACACGTGAGTATACCCAGCCTCCACGTTCGGAGCTCAGCAAGCTATACGTGGGCATCAAAAATGCTAAACACAATAAAAAAAGAACGGGTCTCATTCCCTGACCCCGGAAGAGGCTCCAATTTCGCAGCGCTGGGTAGGACGAGTACGGAGAGGCTACTAAAATCTCAGATCCAATGGAAGTCGCCTGGATTTCAAAAAACTATGGTGACCATCTGTACCTACAATGCACGTACACTTGCATCCGAGCCCTCGATAGAAGACCTGCTCATGCAAGCAAGAAGGATAAGGTACGACGTCCTCGGCCTGGTCGAGACGAGACGACGCCACCCATTCAACGCCGTTCTATGGATGTGGAACAATACCGACTTTGACAATCTTCGCCGTTTACGCCGACATCAAACTATGACGAAGAAGAAGTCGAAGCGTTCCATATGGATTTGGAGAAGTTCTACAGGGAAGATCATAGATTCTTTAAGGTCATCACTGGACATTTTAACGTCAAGATTGGAGCAAAAAGAACGTCACATTGGGACCCACAGATTAGAATGGAACGAACAGGGTGAGCGATTTTCTGCGTTTATCATGACGACCAAAACCATCCACGGAAACTCGCAATTCCTGAAGCCCTATTGGATCTCCATTGGACGTGGGAATCTCCACTGAAGAGTACCACAACGAAATAGACCACATCATAGTGAATAGAAGGTTTTGCCTAACCGATGCCGATGTTGTTTCAAAATTCTACACAGGATCAAACCATCATCTCCTTCGTACAAGATCCTATTTCTCGCGAAAAGGAGAAAAAGCCGCTAAATTAAGCCCCGGAACCACCGTAAAGTGGGTCTTATTCAATTCATTAGTGGGTTGTTGTAAAGAATTCGTTGTCGATAACATCGACGAATAATACGAACGGCTCATTCAACATCTTCACGTTAGCGCTATGAAACCTGAAAGTTCGAAAGTCACCAAGAGACGTCTGCCTCAAGAAACTCTCGAGCTGATACGCTAGCATAGAATTGCACGAGCTGAAGGCAACCGTGAACTAACGTCCGAACTTGTAAAACAATGCATACAGGCCGAAGCTCTTAAAGAGAGAAAAGCAGCAGTAATTGTTGAAGTTGCAGAGGCTGAGAAAAGTATTCGCAAAGACCACCGATGCTTCGCCAATTACAAGACCAAGATGACTACACCCCGACGCCCAGACGGAACAGTTACAGCGTCAGAAAGGCAATGGAGAAAATCAATCACGAATACTACTCAGATCTCTTCGATAGCCACGCGCACCTTCCGTCATATGAAATAAACGAGGATGGATATGTTGTTGTACTACCGGTTCGCCCTTGCGAAGTCCGACATGCTATTTCGTTGGTGAAAAATCGAACAGCACTCGGTCCGGACAGTATACGGCCAGAACACCTGAAGAACCTTCCGCCAATCCTCGTAAACACACTGGCTCGACTCTTCACACGTTACCTATCTGAATGCAATGTCCCTACTCAGTGGGAGACCGGCAGGACCGTGTTATTGTTCAAAAAGGGTGACCTACATGATATCTCCAACTATCGCCTAATCTGCTTGCTGTCTGTCGTCAACAAACTTTTCATTCGAGTCGTCCTAAACAGGATTGACAGAACACTAGACGAACGGCAGTCATGTAAGCAGGGTTTCGAAAAGAATTTAGTACGATGGACCACTTCCGCACGATAACAAGACTCGTTGAAGTATCGCGAGAGTACAAAAGACCACTCTGTCTCACCTCCATTGATTTACAGAAGGCCTTTGAATCAATTGAGATAGAAGCAGTCATGGAATCCCTTGATAGTTAAGGAGTCCCTACTCAGCACATAAAGATTCTTTGTGAGCTGTACAAAAATTTCACAACCAAGGTATCACCATTCTACAACGACATTAACATTAACGTCAAAAGAGGGGTTAGGCAAAACGATACCATCTCGCCAAAATAATTAACCGTCATCTTCGCAAATGTCATGCGAAAAAGGATGGGACAATATGGAAGTGGAAATGGATGGTCGGCAATTATACCATCTTCGCTTTGCTAATGACATCGTCCTTATAAAACCAAACATTAGCCAAGCGGAACGAATCTGGGCCGACTTTGATGAAGCCTTTGGAAAGATTGGTCTTCTACTAAATTTAACAAAAACGATGTTTATGAGGAACGGATTGGTTTCGTATACCCCATTAACACTCAACGGAACGAATATCTCCGAATGCTCCAGTAATGCTTATCGTGAAATTAATATGATGAACGACCTAGCTCCAGATTTGAGCGGAAGGAAACGAGCGGCTTGGGGAGCTCACACGAGCATCGATGAAGTAGTGTGGAGAACAAGGAACACCCGATTCTGTGCCCACGCTTTCGAATCAACGGTAAATCAACTTCCTGCGTCAACGTATGCGCCAGGAACTTGGTCGCTGCGTAAACAGAATGAAAAACCACTCAGCGTTATTGAACGCGCAGTCGAAAGGACGATGCTAGGAGCTTTCCATGTCACACAATTAAGGGATGGGATCCGAATCTCCGACCTGTGTCAACGAGCAAAAATCAAAGATGCCGTTCTGTAAGCCAAACAGTAGAAGATAAGGTGGGCCGGACACGTGATGCGTATGAACGACAACCGATGGACAACTGCCGTTAGTGACTGGATTCCTCGAGATGTTAAATGCACTGCAGGAAGACCACCGACACAATGGTCCGAGTTCTTCATGAAAAGCCTAGAAGAAAGATATGATGCTCAACGAGCTCCTAGAGCGAGCAGAACCCACTGGGCCACTCTTGCATGCGATAGGGAAAGATGGAAGATTTACCAGCGCCCGCTCGAGTCGCTCGACGACCAACGTAGCTGCAGGTAATACAAGTGATTTCCTTTACAATGAATCGCGGTGGCATACCGATGTATCGAATCAGTGTTGCTATTCTCCCAGACATGTCTGGTACAATGTGCCGACCCCGGAGTGATGAAAGGCTTGCTGGGCCAGGAGCTAGAGGATCGATCCCATGTGTATTGCTGGGCACTTCCGACTACTGCGGCACAGGCGCATAAAAAAATTAAAAGTTAAGTGAAAAAGTGCAAGCATACTAAAAACTCACTTCCATTAACTGGATCTTCCTCTCATAGGCGTACAATATATCTGACATTTTTGCGTCATTCACCTAAATTGTTATACATAGATTAATGAAGTATACTAAACAATGCTCGATAGAGACTTACATTGAATCCATTTTTTAACTGCTTCAAGAGATCATCGAGGGCTTTAGCATTTTCTTTCGAAAAAGCGGTAGGAGATAACACGACTGCTGATGCTTCCTTAGTATCCATTAGCTCAGACTGCCTAGATAAAGAAAAGGTTAGTGATGTAATAGATGCGAATAACAGGCCGAGAACTAAAAATAAAGCTAAATCAACGGCGTTTTCACGGGACGATCCAAGAGCATTCAGATATAAGGGTGCCGAACATTATGAGGAAAAGCCATATCCTAATGTTCAACTGATGTGACGAGAACAACAAATACCTTATTTCGTCCCAAGTATTTGGTGAAATCACTCGAACTTCAGAATTGCTTTGCTTAAACTGCGAACAAGAAGCGATTAGATCACCAAGCCTGGAACGCAGCTATACTTGAACTCAACACATGGAAAGCCTAAATTACAGCAAAGTTATTGCAATATAAAAGTAACCACAGAGTAGTTTTGGGACCTATAAATAAATGATGTTCATAATTACTCGTACTGCTTATGTAAAAATGCAGCGCGTGTAGCGCAGTGGTCAGAGGCGCCGTGCAATGCATACAGTATCGATTCCCGAAACCCCGCTCACTAAGCCTTCCGTCCTTTTGGAGTCGGCAAATTGGTACCAGACTTGTCTGGGAGGATAGCAGCACTGGCTCGATACAACGGTATGCCAGTGCAAGTCATTGTAAAGGCCAGATGTGCATTCAGTCACCTCTAACGATGCTTAATGAAATCGAATGCATGGCGCATCCCTCAGGGATTGATAAACGCCGAGAGCTTTATCGCTTTATCCTTTATGTAAAAATTTGTTCATGAACCTACCAACGAGTTGGAAATGCATGCAACTGTGAACAATGTGTGTAGAGGATCAGAGCATTATGAACCATTTCGTGATCACCAAACGTTAATGCATACGCCAAAAACGATACTAGTCGAGGATCCTTTATCGAAAAGTGAAGTAAAAATGAGAAAGCCACCGAAGATGGGACGGAATAAGAAAAGTTTATCGCAAAAATTGTAGAAAAAATGGAAGAAAAGTAGACCTTTAACGATTTCCAGTATTGGTCCTTATGTAGTTTCGAGAAATCCTTAAGAGCAGCAAGCAATCGTAATAGTTCTAAAACGACTGCCACACCATAAACACTGGAAAGATGCAGAAGGTTAAGGAACTAAGTACTATCGGTAACTAATGCGAAACTCTGACACAGCAAGAACATTTTTCAAATTAGAGCTTAAGAGAGCTCTTTACCTCCACTCAGCAATTCTTTCTGTTCTATGGGAAGGAGGCTTTTCCATGAATATAACTACCGGATTTGTGATGAGTTGGGATTCCGAAATATGAGCGCATAACGATGCCGTTGTTACTTCGAGAAGACCACTACGTAAGTCCTCATCGGTACTGCACACTAAAATTAGTCACTCAGAGATTGAGCACGAAGCGAAAGTAATAGAAAACTAGTAGGAGGCTTATGTTACTGAGAGAACTGAAATACAAACTAGAGTGCCGAAAAGGGATAAGGATTTCTAAAGATTACAAACAGTTCATACGTTAGAGCGACCGACCCTCAGCTAAACGCAGCCCTTCCATGATCCGTCTACACTGGTAGACGACCTCCGGTTTTGATGTCTCTACCGTTGTCTTGACGGCCGCATCAATAAGATTTAATAAATGTTCAGTGGCAATCACATCAGAAATCCGTTCACCATTTTCGATTTTCTCCTGGAAAAATTTCCGTTGATCTAGTGCAAAAACATGTTCTCTGCTGAAATCGAAAACAAAGTAAAAAGATTAAATATGTACCTGGACATCTGAATATCATCTATTCTCTATTGTCTAGCACAAAAAATATACCGTACTAGAACAGAAACCTGATGAGCAACTACCTATAGAAACTACTTACCTTAACCAAATAAGTGAGTAATCGAAGGGCTTTCAAAGATATTTCAGGTTGTACTGCGTCTTCTACTGATACTGCTGCCGTGGAAGCGATAGCAAGCAGTGGGGTAGTAAGACGATCTTCTGTAGGTGGATATTTCAACACAGCAGCACAAACAGGAGAACATAGCTGAGGAAGAGAACAGAAGGATAAGAGGACGTCGTATACCTGTTAAACAACAATGGATCGCAATGGAGAGACTATATAAAAAAAACTGCATTCACTACCTTAGCAGTTTCTTCCAGTCTAGGATCCAAGGTCACTAGAAGTTCTGCAGTTTGCTGAACGCAGCGGTTGAAAAAGCTGTAATTCATGACATCCTTACCCGTCGATGTGATTACAGGAGTTGACGAGATCTTAAAAAACAGGAATTCAGCTCAAAAAGTCGAACGAATAGAAACCACATGGTACTATACGATGCAGATGCAAATAGAGTACGATAGATATGAATAATAGGATAAAGAATAAAGCTCTCGGCCTGATCAATCGGAGAAGATGCGCCATGCATTTCACTTCACTGCGCATCGTTGAGGGTGACTGAATGTCTATCTGGCCTTTGGGATGTTTCAAGGTGGCCCACCGATGTGTCGAGCTAGTGCTGCTATCCGCCCAGACAAGCCTGGTACCAAATTGCAGACCCCGGAGGGATGGAAGGCTTAGTGAACCTAAGCCGCGGGGATCGATCCCATTTGTACTGCAGGGCACCTCCGACCACAGTGTTACAGGCGCCCTATAGATATGAATAGAAAAAAAATCACTGCTAAAGCATTTGGTAGGAATATTTTCTGAAAACGAGTGGAATATAAAGAAAAAAAATAACGGACCGTCTGAGTATCCGATACAACTAGTCTACGCAAAAGATCTGCTGCAATATGTCGTGTCATTACGCAGTCACTATCACCCATTATCAAAACGTTGAACACACATTGAAAAGTTTCATGAATATTCTGGGAACAGTAGACCTGAAGAGCTCTTTTATTGAAAACACACCTCTGATGACCTTCGCATGGTTCACTTCTCCAACATATTGAAATAAATCACCATATCTCGAACTTTTTCTTCGAGGTAGCCTATAAGTACTAACGATGAAACCACAACGATACGTGAATCATGCGATAGTAACTTGATCACACGTCGAGAAAATGCTTTGTATGATGTCTGCAATAGACATAATTTTAAAAAACCCTCAGTTGATCAAGTTGTTCCTCCCTACTCTTATGGTCCACCGCTTCATCGTAGATGAGAGACGTTCCCGAGTGTTGGGCTGCGAAATACAGCGAGGGGATTACAAATTCGTCGTTTTCTCTGTCAGCAATCGCGACGTTGTTAAACAGCATACGTTTACTTCCACACGGTAACACACGTACAAAACAATCGCAGCTGACCTTTCGGCAGTATCGCCTTCTTCAGAGCCGTTTTTACGTGCCTTCCACTGAGGAAGAGCCGCTGATCAGCGTCGCGTATGGTTGACGACTCGGCTCTGAAGAAGGCAACTCTGCAGAAACGTCAGCTACGATTGTGTTGTATGTGTGTTACCGTATGGAAGTAAACGTATGCTGTTTAACAACCTCGCGATTGCTGAGAGAGAAAACGACGAATTTATAATCCAATGCCGAGGCCAATAGATAGTCGATCCTGGGAACAGCGAGAGGATTGATCCCCCGGCAGGGCCTTCCAGGCTGAGGAGTACGGCATTCTCATCAGGAAGCCCAGCCAAGACTAAACCAATACCACGATCCATCATCGTCCTGATACCAAACTAGTCGCGAGGTGAAAAAATTTCCTCTGATCCACAAAGGCGGCGACTGGCTGGGGTGGAGACGACCTGCTTCACATTTCGGCTGGGTTGACCTTAAGACTACAGGGAACCACAGTGGCTAAGCCAGCAAAACTCCGAAAAAATGGAGATTATGCTGGGACCTTCCACAATCAGTGAAGATGGGCTATAGTACCCAAGTAAGATCAAATTGTTATCACTTGGATAGAAGTTGAAAGAAACACAGCTTACGGATTTCTTTATCCTACTACATACTGACTTGGAACGTCTTGCAAGGTTACATAAAATAGCTATACAGTGAGGCATCCATTCCATTTCGTCCTCTCTGGTACTTAATTACAAATATTAATAATAAAGACGTGAAAAGAGAAAAAGCAATTCAGCTCACGTCTCGCTCATCAGAAACGAAATCAAGTCGTTCGTCCATACACCGAGAACTAGACATTTTTCATACGTTAAAACCTAAACACCAATGCGTTTCCCATTGTAAAAATTTACAAGTACTAAAAATAAAAGCTAATGAAATGAAAAGACAGGGGTAGAAAAGAAACCTGTAGCAATCGGAGGATGTCTATCAAATTCTGAGGCCCTAATTGCTCCTTGAGGGATAGCTTCAGGCAATCAAAAACTGGCCCGCATAAGTGTAATTCGCCACATACATAGCGTCGTATTCTCACATTATAAAGTGCTAAAACTAATTTGAAGTAAATTATTTAAAGATAACGTCACCTTTTATTTACCAATTCGCTTTTAATTGTAGGGTATTATGCGACATAAGACCACAATGATGCTGACCTATTTGCAAAACTCAGGATCGCTAGTGTCTGAGGTGGGGATCGAAAACGCTGCTAACCTTTTCGTGGGATAACGCTTTCACTACCACAACATGCAGGTTCTTCGTTTTCCCTGTCTCTCAGCTAGTTTTCTATCTACCAGTACCACCATCAATCATCTGTGCTCTCTAGATCACTCCGTTGACCGGCCACTGCTGGTGGCACTGGAAGATAGAAAACTAGCTGAGAAACAGGGAAAGCGAAGGACATGAATGGTGTGGTAGTGAATTCGTTAGCCCACGGAAACAGAGTTCTGTAAATATCTCTGCATCATTGCGGTTACTTAAGAATAAATGGCGACAATTAAATGAATAGTTAATCACTAAGGATATATTTAAAGAAAGACAACCGTGAACCTAAGCTGAAGAGTAATCGCAGTAGCTTCGATCTTGTTGGAGCACTTGATGTATTGGCAGAAAGTAGGTGCGGACAATAATCGAGAAGTTCGGTAATAAACTGGTTAGAAATAGCTAGCCTCCCAATTGACTCAACTCCATCGAGGTGACGAATGAGAGCCTTAAATTTAACGAAGGGAAGGAAATCGCTATCGAATGAGTGATTACAATACGAATGAAAAAGAAGTAATAAGTTGGAGATCTGTCAAAAATGTATAAGTAGAAGAAACCTCGATTTCTTCCGCACATGAAAAATATTGCCTTAAATAACGTTACTTTTTATTTATTGTTTATCATTATTTTTCACGGCAGGATACGATAAGAAATTCAACCACTAGGATGCTGAGATGCTCGCAAAGCTTGGACCTTAGGCCGTATCAAACCACTACACTTTCCGATGGCTCACGTGATTTGCACTGATCCACTGAGGTCCTTGCTTTACCTTTCTCTCACCCAGTTTTCTACCTAACACTGCCATCAGCAATCACCCATCAGTGGGACTTTCTACTTCAGCTCAACTGGATTTAACGCCGATCTGTGCTTTGCAAATCTATCCCGATGACAGGTAATTGCTGATAGCACTGCTAGGTAGAAAACTGGCTGAGAAAAAGGCAAAGGGCCTCAGTGATAGTGGGTAATACGTGAGCCTCCAGAAGGGGTAATCGCCAGTTCGATCTGGCCTGACGCCCACGTTTTGCAAATATCTCAACATCATAGCGGCTGTAGTTCTCCTATTTAACACTTCTACTTTCTCTTTGAACATGGGAAGGTAGGAAAGCTCCACAGAATACGTGAATGGCACAGTAACTTTTGATTCGAAACAGAACCACGATTAAGGAATTTGTTGTAAAAACATTAGAAAGAATGATAAAGTAAAGGATATTACTTACCTTTAATGACTCTTCAAAAACAGCAGTATTATTAGAATTTGAGTCGGCGGCAAAACGAGAAGCGGCGGCTACAGCCCGAGATAAGGCTCCATCCATTGTCTCCTACCAAAAGACTCTATAATAAAGGAAGTCTTTTAAGGTTTAAGCCGTACTTGATATTTGAAACTCGATACTTGAATGGCCCGCCCTCATTGGTTGTGCGAGCCCCAGCATAATCTCCATTTTTCGGAGATTTGCTGGTTAAGCTATTATGGTTTCCTGGAGCCCCGAGGTCAGCGTGGCCAAAGTCTGCCCCAGGTCCTCACTACGACAGGCAGTCGCAGCCCTTGTGGATCAGAGGGAGATTTGCCACCATGCGACTTTGATACCAGGACGGTGGTGGATCCTGGTATTGGTTTACTCTTAGCTGGGCTTTCTGACGGAAACGCCGGACTCCTTCTCAGCTTGGGAGACCCTGCCAAGTGATGAATCCCCCGCTGTAAATCGCAGTTCGACACCCAGGAACACCTAATCACGATGAGGCCGCAAACCGTTCGGAGGAGAATAAAGGAAGTCTTTTAAGGTTTAAGCTGTAACATCCTTCACTACAAAAAGAAGACAAAAGAAGACGAAACGAAAACAAACACATACTTTATTGAAACACTGAAGTACAGTAAAGGCTAAAAGAATGAAACTCTCGGCGTTAATCAATCCCTGAGGGATGCGCAACGGATTCGACTTCATCAAGCATCGTTAGAGGTGATTGATTGCATATTTGGTCTTTACAATAACTCGCAGTGGCCCACTGATGTATTGAGCCAGTGTTGCTATCCTCCCAGACAAATCTGATACCATACTTCTGACCCCGGAGGTATGGAGGGTATAGTGGACCAAATGCGCGGATACCGATCCTATGTGTATTGCACGGCGCCTCTGACCACTGCGCTACACACTCCCTTTCGAGGTATGAACATGCAAAATATGGTAGCGTTTCCCATTCAAGCATATGCTTCACCTGGTTAAAAGTCCTGATTAGTCCCTGATTAATCCCTGATTTCAACTGTAGAAGGCACTTACGGTAGAACATGTCCATGGAACAGAGAAACTCAAATTCGCTTTTTTTCGCTTCTCCCTCAAAACAGAAGTCAGTTGTTGAAGCTGTTTGGTATTGAGATTCGCATGGACCTCGTTTCCCGGTTCGTTGCTCAACATTAGCTTCCACCAAATGTAGCGAACCTTGTAAGCGTTTAGTCTTAACCTAACTGGCCTCTGTTCGTTCCGTGCTACAGATTCTTCATAATCTGTGCCCTGTTGCCTTAAGCGTCCTTGCCAATCCACACATAACGTTTCCCAGATGCACAACTCGCTCTCCTCGAAAGCAGAAAGTCAGTTATAACTTCTGGGAGTGCCGAGGTTAGTGTAAACAACTGCGAAGCATAAGAAAAGGAGACCGCACGAAACAGTGTATTCTGCCTTCCCTCCCACAAGCCATTGTGTTGTTATGTCGCCCAACAGGTTCTTCGACCGGAGCAAGCCTCGTATACGATGTTTGTTCCACTGAATGAGACCGCTCTGCTTTAGAAGTATGTGTCTTTGCACGTTTGTGCGGAAACCCAAACCACACAAAACAATAAGATATAACACAACGAGGAGCCCTTTGGAATAGGAGACAACAATTCTTTTAGAAGTACTGCATTATTTTATCCCTAATCTACGATGGATTAACCAAATGACTTCGACTAGACGACTTCCAAGGCAACGGGCGGGGGTTCATTGTCGTGATAGAATCCTCTTATGAACAAAGTTAAAACAAAGTGTAAACAATAAGTTTAAAATAGATGTACAAAACCACTATGAAATCACCATTGTGGACTAAGAAGCACTAAGAAAAAAGTATGTACACTGAAAAGATCGACTTTTCGTAAACTTCGCCACAAATAATCGATAAGGGTAAAAAAAGGGTACAGCTCTTGGCGTTGATCGATCCCTGAGGGATGCGCCATGCATTCGACTTCACTAAGCATCGTTGGAGGTGACTAGAAGCGACACTAAATAATTTACTGATGGCACTGGAAGACAGAAAACTAGTTGAGAGGAGGGCGAAACGAAGGACCCACATGACGTGATGGTGAACGCGCTAGCCCCTGAAAAGAGTAATGACGTGTTCGATCCTCACCACAGAGAACTGCCGTCCGAAGTTTTGTAAGTATCTCTGTATCATTGTGGTGGACGTGGAACACTTTAAAACGAATTAAAAAGGAAATTGATGATTACCGAGATCCTGAATGAGTGGAAACTCTTTGGATTCGGAGGTCAGCCATTCAATGTTGACCGAGTCAGCCGCGTTCGTACGTACGCCGTGGGTAAACAAAAGCCATAGAATAATAGAAGTAGCTTATACTGGCAACAAAATGCTCTACTTCAGACAAACATTTAAATCCTTCACTCGCCTAAGAACTGTTCACAGAAGCAGTCCGGATCCTGAATGCTTTCGTATGAGTATACTGTGGAGTTTCTCGAATCTGTAGATAGAAAACGATCAGATGATGAATGAAGCTCTCGGCGCTGATCAATCCCTGAGGGATGTGCCATGCGTTAGGCTTCATTACGCATCGCTGGAGGTGAGTGAATGGATAACTGGCCTTTACAATGACTCGCGGTAGCCTACTGATGTATCGAGTTAGTGCTACTATCCTCCCAGATAAGGCTGGTACGAATTTGAGATCAAGAAGGAATAGAAAACCTGGTGAGTTTTGTGTGCGGAGACCGGTTCCCTGTGTATTTCAGGGCGACTCTGACCACTGCGCTAAATGCGCTCTACGTAGAAATAGAAAGCTATCACAAGGTACAAAAACCTTATCGCATAGGTGGCGGTCTCGTGGTAAAACCCGACTTCGTTAACAAAGAGAAAAAGGAAGTCGACCGCATTCTATCCGGCCAAACACTTCCATAACCAACCAGTAAAAATTCGGGTTTAGCATTTTCTCTACTTGGTTATGGAAGTGTTTGGCTTGGTAGTTTTCGGTCAACTTGACCTTTCCAGGCTCCGAGGAAGGGCAAATCCGCCAAGACGTCAGCATTACCGGAATAAGGAGTAAAATAACAACTCGTGCTTGCTCAACAAGAGTATAAAGAATTGTTCGATGAATGCCGAGGTTAACAGAAAATCGGTCGTGGGCGTTACAGTTTCATTACTAGTGTAATGAAAGATTTAACATATCCTGTTTTGAAAGTCTTTCTATCTAGAAGGTTAGAAGAAGCCCTTATGCGTAAAAGCCATTTCGGATGGTCACTGTTTGTTAAATAATCCGATCTCACAGTAACTTTCTTCCCCGAGTGAAAACAAAGCAAGAGTAGCGTAGTAGTTAGAGATCCATGTAATACCCGTACGTCGCCATTGGACCGATCCCGCGCCCTAGGCTCACCAAGCCTTCTATCTTTCCAGGGTCGGGGAATTAGTACCAGAGCTGCCTAGAAGGTTAGTTAGCAGCACTGACTCGATAGGTCAGTAGGTAACGGAAGGTCAATGTTTGGGCCAAATATAGATCTAGTCACCCTTAACGGTTACTTAGCGAAGTCGATCGCATGGCTCATTCCTTAAGGATTGATCCACGCGGAGAGGTCTATCCTTCACCTCTTGTGAAAACAACGACTTCCAAAGAAGAAGTGCCACCAACGGAAAGGAAAGAAGAATTATTTGGAAGAAATAGGTGAAAATTTATAAAATGTCATTTATTAGGATCGGTTTTCTCCAAAGAAATTCAAAGTTTCCAGCTTTTTTAATCGATTTAGATTTGTATCCGCCTAAATGACACCAAAGATTATCTCATTAACACCTATAAGTAGTAAGTATCTAATAAACTCCAAATAGAGCAAGTCCTCATCCCGTTGGCAAGGTATCCCAAGTTTCGGCATTTCCAACAGGAAGCCCAGTTAAGACTAAACCAATGCCAGGACTCACTTCTGTCCTGGTATCAAACTAATCGCATGGTGGTAAATCTCCCCTTGATCTACAAGGGTGGCGACTTCCTGAAGGGGCAGGTTTTGGCTAGGCTGACCACGCGATTCCAGGGAACCACAATGGCTACCCGAAAAAACGGAAATTATGCTGGGTCCGCAAAACCAGTGAAGACAGGCCATCCAAGTAAGTAAAGGAAGTGTCGTTGAATTCTCTCCACATATTCGTTTTTGCATTCTTCCACGTACATTTGAAATTGAAGGACGAACATAAGAACAAAATAACAAAATAATTCCAGGCTAAAACACTGCTGAGAGGACGGCGGAACGAAAGAGCCCCATGGTGCCATGATGAACATATCAGCACCCGGAAAGGGTGACAGCGTGTTCGACCCCCACCGCAGACACCTGCGGTCCGGAATTTTGCAAACATCTCAGCATCATTGCAGTCATACTTCACAAGATAAACTACCGATGAACCTAAAACACTGGCAAAACTTCCAGTTATCTCAATCCTTCTCATCTATGGCCATCATCTCACGGTGATCTCTACTAGTTCTTCAGCTTAAGTTGCAACAAAAGCGCATAAAAACTGGCATACTAAAGTAAATGCCGTTAACAAGACACTTCCTCAGATTACTCAGCAATACTAACTTCCTGTAAAGTAAGAGGAATAGTTGAAATACAAAAACTAAACCCGCGATGAGAAAAGACCTCACGACCATCCTGAGGTTATGCTTTCCCTCCAGTGGTCACGGAGTACTCTTGTACGAGTTGTCGCGTTGTAGTAGCGTTACACAATCAGACATTTCAGCTTCGATGGTTGGCGACTCCTCTCTGTGATATGTACTTGTATGAAGTATTGCTCCGTTCTCAATTTATTCACAACACAACAGTTCTTATGCGTTCAATCCCAAGTGAACATGGAAATTTTCCTAGCTAGAGGTCAGAGCGGGTGGATTTCTTATTGATTTTGCCTCATCCCATTCCAGAGCTGTACACTCTTGTCTTCTCGATCTGTGCTTAGTTATTGAATTCTAACATGATCTCTAACATTATTAAAGCTGAGACTCCTGTTGATAAACTTCTGTTCGCTTCGAGAAATCGTCATTTCAACGTCATTTCATCTCGTCACCTAGCATCATTCTATTGTTCATTCTCCTTCTCTTCATCTCCACCTCTATGTATCATTTCTATTTTGACGTGATCTCTACCTTATAACTAGCCGAACTGCCCTGGAAACTCCGAACTATGTTTGCACTTTGACTTGTTCCATTGCTGAGCGGCGAGCGGGCGAATCCAATGTGTCCGAGTTTTCTTGGTCTAGTCGTGATGGTCCTGACTGGAATTGTTTAACCCTCTGTAGGAGGCGCCACTTTCCCTCAAGTTTCGAAATCTGCCTTGCCGGCGAGATATCCCTGTTTCTTTCTTCTCTCTTTTCTCTTTCCTTTTTATTTCTGTGTATTTTTTTCTACCGATTAGTAGTGGTTGATGCTGTTGGGACGTGCAATGTGTGCACGTGGAATACTTTTGTCATTGGGTTTTGCTTACTTCACTTCCATGAGTTTCTTTTGAGCATTTGTTCAAATAGATGATATAGTGCACTGTTTTTCCTATCTTCGTTTAGAAAATGTTAATCAGAATGCGTACAGAATTAGAATGGAACTAAACCAACAGTAAAAGTGCTCATTTGCATCATTTAAAGGGTAAGTTTACCTTCTTTTTCTTGTGGCGATATAAGTCAAGCATTACTTCTATCCGTTGCAATGTTACAGTATAACATCGTTTAGTAGCTATAGAAATTTGGAGTCCTTAAGGCTTCCTCTTTGTTTCTGTTCATGGCTTTCCATACGCCTGTAGGGTTTTCCCTATAAGTGACTCTGTTGGAGCTGAGAAATGGAACGATTAGGACAGAGTCAGAATCAAACGTGTTCTATTGAGAGGCCGTTCATTATCAGTGTTTTGTTCTTCATCTCACAATTCTGAGCTAAGCGTTGCACAGATTATTCAACTTTTGTAAGAACCGCCACTTTCCCGCAAGTTTCGAAATCTAGGTTTGAGAGCTGGGACACCTTTTTCCTTTTTTTCCTTTTTATTTTTGTCTTTTCTTTTATTTGGTGCTTAATAAGTTCGATTGAACTGTTAGCTTCAACCTGCGCTACTCATATGTCGATGTATACCCGTTTGCTCTAAAATAACACTCCTAATGATTGAAGTAACGAATGCTTTTGACCTAATTCGTTGTGCTGCTGTTGAGCAAAGTATACTATACTAAAAGGAAGTGCTAAAGTATTAAAGTAGTGTTTTAAGTACAAACTGAAGTAAATCGTGGTAGGAAAAAGTACTAAGGTGTACTAAAGCAGAGTGTAGTCTTGTATCTTTTTGGCTTAGTTGAAGTACTTACACAGTTGGAGAGGGTTTTGACTTCTTCCTTGGAGAAGCCTACACGAGGTTGAGGTCGTCTTCGTTTTCTTCAGAGCCGATGATCCGAGTTATACATATTGACTGCTCATACGGAGGTTGAAGGAAAATCAGTTCCGAAATAGGATTTTGACCATTTTTCTGCAGATCTGTGTAAGCGTTCTTTTCATTATGACGGTTTAAGAACACAGCATGAATCGTACTATCAAGTAGTTGTAGATTTCTGTGGTTTTCGTCACAACTGTTGAAATGTGATATAGATGGATTGAAAAGTTAAAAGAGAGCTTTTCATTCATTCATTTAGCGCTCTTCGTTCATGTTCAATTTACCCTTTGTTGATTCTACGAAGCGCTTTTTTTCTGTGTGAAATGAGAATTCGAACCGTTTTCTTCCTTTTCTCAGTTGTTTCCTTTGTAGTTGTGATTCGTTGTACAGAGAACCGGCGCTGGAGTTGACGTTGTCCCCGTATGGGAAAAATGATGGATTTCGAGTTCTACAGGAACAATCCACCGCCACCGATTTTGAGTGTTGATGTTTTCTCTCAGATTTCCCGTAAGTCTCTCGACCGGTGCTTAATGTTGTCTTCCATCTTTTTTGTGCAGTTCTTCGTTTTCCGAAATCTTTTTCTTTTCACTAATTTTAGCTTGTCCGTCTGCATCCACCGTCTCTATAGCATCGTTTGGTGCAAATTCATCAAATTCACCTGTAGATGCACATGACGTAGCAGCGATCTCAGCAGGTGTGTATCCAGGTGCACAGTCTGCTTATTATTGGAAATGCCTTTTTTCTATTGAGTTTTGAAGCTCTATACAAAATACCTACTGTCCTTCATCAACACTTTTTAGGCACTTCAGTAGAAGCTGCAACAGGGTCAACTGTGGAGGAAACAGCCGTTTGTGAAGACACTGAGGTAGTGCGTTTGTTGTTGTGTTTCGTGTCAAGTTGTTGTTTGATCAGCACCAAAACATTTAGTTTTTATATCTTGTATATTCTATTTTACATCTTATCTTGTGGCGTATGTGGCAAAGTGCTCGGAGGAGCCTTGCAATGCACACAGGACTGATCCCGCGCCCCAGTTTCACTAAGCCTTCCATCCCTCCGGAGTCGGCAATTTGGTGCCAGACTTGTCTGCAAAGATAGCAACACTGAGTCGAGACATCGGGTAGGCCACCACGAGTCGTTGTAAAGGCCAGATGTACATTCAGTCACCTCCAGCAATGCTTAATGAAGTCGAAGGCATGGCGCATTCCTCAGGGATTGATCAACGCCGACAGCTTTATCTTTTTTATCTCCATCTTTCATACCAAAACATCAACCATTTAATGACGAACTTACACTAAGGGTTGTATATTGATTTGGAGATGGGGTAGTCGTAACGAATTTGGATGCTCTGATGTAAAGTGTTTTTAAATGTTTTCCACACCTATTAAAGGAAACATGATGTTGAGATTTAAAGATTTAAACGCCTTCTGTGAATAAAAAATAAACTGAAAGGATTTCGTTGCGATGGTGAAGTATGGTTTCTTGGTTTCCAGGATACAGTGTCGCAGGAGCGTCCACTAACCGGTCTTTCTCGCTGTCACGAGGAATTGCATGAATTGAAACTCGAGGTTCAGCGTGCCCGAGAGAAGCGTATTGAAGAACGGAGAGAGGCGCGCTTAGAACCACAAGTAGGTGAAATCTTCCATTGCAGTCCGTCCTGTAGTTGGATGGTGGTGGAATTGGCTACTTGCATTTCTTGGATAGAGCTGCGACATGACTGAAAATTTTCTGCTTTCTAATATTTTGAATATCTTTGGAGTTCACAGTTCGGTTGTGGTTCTCACATATCCTTACTAAAAGCTCTTTTGTAAAATGTTTGAAAAGAGTATTCGCTTGCTAAGCATCTAAAAAAAACATGAAATTTATGTCATTTTTGGAAGTTGGGGATGTTCTTGCTTCGGTTTCTGTTAGAAAAATATGAAAAAGAATCGTACTATGGATTAATTGTAGAACTACTAACTACCGCTATTTGAGCCATTGAGCATATTTTTTTTTAGCGGGCCGTATTAGATGGTGTTGGTAGCTTATTATCATTGCTTCGTGGCGATGGGAAGCAGAATGAACCTGAAAAAGAACGGATTGTTTTGGACTCAAGAGGAGTGCCTATCTCGCAGTCACGTCGGCGGATTAGAAGCACTTTCGGTAAGGAAGTATTTCATGTGGAATAAGTTTGATATTATATGGTTGAATTTACATGTAGAATAATATTTCGTTTTCAGGAGGAGGGGCTGTTGTGATACCGACTTCAGTGCAGTCGACTATGGACCTTGATTTACCTCCACTTCCTCCAAGACCTACTGATCCAGCAGAAATTCGCAAAATTGTTCGAAGCAAGATGATTCGATGTAAAGTGGGTAAATGTTTACTTTAGTTAGGGTTATGCATGTCATGGGTTATTGATTATCCTTGTTTGTAGGTCTGCAACAATCGCTTTGGACAAAGGAATTTATTGGAGCGGCACTTGCGTGACAAACACCATGTAGAATACCTCGAATACCTTTATCAAGAGGAACTTGAGGTTCAGAGGCAAAGGTAGGAGCATTCAGAACTCAATGCTCACCTTTGAATACTGAGACTACGTCATTACCTGTGCGGGTATTATGGATTTCTCTGAAGTGAAGGTGGTGTGACTGTTCAGAGAAGAAGAACTGGAAAGAAATCGTATTGACGAATTGACGTCTGGTGGATTCATACCACCTCAATGGGAAATTGAATCCCAAAGTTTCGAAGTCGACGTCCAAAAGTAAGACTCAAGTATTTAACCATATTCCACTTTCACCTTATAGTATATTCACACTACTAATTACATTATGTTTGTATAACTCATTATAGAATTCCTCTTCCTGGTGAATTATCAAATGGAATTGTGGCGAGATTCGATGCAAATGGTTATCTTCGTCAACCTAAGCGTGTATTCCGCAAGAAGGTACGATATCCGTGCTTTGCTATTCTCGTATCACGGCGAAACTACGGTTTTATTTGATACATCAGTAAAAGTCATTGTGGATAAGTAAGTTTGTGGTTCTAACTCCTGAATGACTATCTGTCTGTCTAAAGTACATTGATACCTGGCTCTACTAACATTTGGAGTTAGTTATTGTCTTGGTTTTCACTCGGGATGCGAAGCATACGTTAACTGAATGTCCATCATGTTAGGGAAGGCAACAGAAATGAGAACATGTGTTTACAAAATGGCCTGATGGGCCTAAACTGCTTGCATAAATTAAAGAAGAAATAGTAAATTCTATTTATATTGGTGATAAACTGTTTAGCATTTGAAACCCTGAAATTGTTCTAAATGTTCTCTTTAGTACTGGGTTGTGCCGAATATTTTCCCTGTTTCAGGTTTCCCCTCAGTGCCCATTCTGTGATAAGCGATTCAGAAATGAGGTTTCGCTGAAGAAACACTTCGTCAAGAAGCACCCGGATTGTGTCGAGTTTGTTCAATGTTTGGACTGTTTCAAGTGCTTACCGGATAAGAGTCATCTGTCACAACATGAATGCGATATGGTGATTGACATCTTAACTACATTTGTTTTTTTCCAAGAGGACTTTTAATTGCTAATAGTGGACCATTATTCCTACCTTATCAGAAAACATACTTGTGACTCCCTAGACTTGGTTGTGTTACGAGTGTTCTCCGATTCAAAATATGTGTACGGAACAACGATTCAATAACCACCGTGGAAAGTTCCATCGTGGTGCCAACTCAGGGTTTCGCTGTAACGAATGCAACCAAAAGTTTCTGACTCCGCGGAAGCTAAGGTTTTTTTTACTCCACTTTAACTACGTATGCTTTTTGCTCAGGAATACTCTGACCTGTAGAAAATCACACCTACAGCTTGGTTTTTCTAGGAAACATAGGAAGATGTCCCATGTTTTCGTGAAGACATATGCTTGTCATTTCTGTGAAGAGCTTTTCACCAGTGAAGTTTCGGTAAGTCACCTTTTTTACTCATGCACTATTTGTTCTAGTAATGACTTTTTCAGGTTATGACACACGAGCGAATTCATACTGGAATTATCAAGTTCGAATGTAAAATCTGTGACTTCAGGTGTAATAGATATATCCAAATGGAAAACCATAAAAAGGTAAAGACTGTATTGCAAGCAGAGAGTTTGCTAAACAAAACTTTATACAGTTTGAAATACTATTTATTCAAGGGAAAGATATTTCCGAAGCCCTCTTGAGGTCATCTTTATTTTTGTGTCAGGTCAAAATAGAGCCACCAAGGAATATTATTCGTATATATGTCTTTCAAAACGCGGTTTATTTCCACACTTTTAAACTAGATTTAGTCGACATTTTTGGTATACTCTCCCAGCGGTTTACCGTCTCATCGTGGTTGAGAGATGTTTCTGGATGTCGGGCTGCGATGTACAGCGTCCCCTCAGCAGGGTCTCCCAGGCTGAGTCCGGTGTCTCCATCAGTAAACCCAGTTAAGAGTACACCAATACCAGGAACCATCACCGTCCAAGCATCAAACAAGTCGTATGGTTGGAAATCTCCCTCTGATCCACAAGTGCGACGACTGCACTTGGTGACGACCTGGGGCAGATTTTCACTAGTTTAATCTCGGCGCTCCAAGGAACCACTGGCTAAACCAGCGAAGAGCAATGCTCCTACAAAGTGGAAGTTACGCAGGTCCCAGGAAATCAGTGAGTACGGGCCATCCAAGTATCAAGTTTTGGTACACCTTATTGTATTGTATAAATCTTGCTTAGTAGCTTTACAGAATCTTGGAAATAAAATCCTTTCTCTTACAGGAGGATCATGGGTATCTCTGTTCCATTTGTCAAGAAAGTTTCGGTGAATGGGCAGAGATTAAGAACCATACTCTGTCAAAGCATGGAGGATATCTTACCAGCGATACGTATACTGGTACAGAGGGCACTTTTATCACTTCAAAGCTTTTTTTAATAGCATTTATAACTCTAATCTGTTTCTTCATAGCATTGAAACGTAGTGCTTATGCAGCAGTGAACCCTATAATCCTAGTTCTTCTAAGATCCGAGATTCACATTTCAGGTGCCCTAAAATTGGGTACATTTTCTCATCTGTTATTTAGATACGATCGAATGGTTATGGTTTCTTGATATATTCAGCTTTAGCTTAGTACAAAATACAGGTTGAAACCGGATTTCGACATTTGGAAGTTCCATTAGGGAAACGACGGAAGATTGAGGACTTGAAATCCACATGAAAACATTGCATGTGATTCTCGCCGTTTATGACTCAGAGATTCTGGTTTTTCGGCATTGGACAGAATAAAGAATATTTTAGATAGTTGTGATGTTGTTTTAGATTGGTTTACACCGCTTGATCCTTTTCACTGTTCAACTTTCCTTAGTCATAGTCTCCAATTTCCGACATCAATTTTGGTGTTTTAGGTTACGTTGAATCTCCACGAGTGTGGGCGCTGTTTAAAGGAGATTGAATGTGGTCGTCATACAAACCCGAAAGCGTAATATTTGCTCTTGAACTGCCTCAGTGATGTCTTACTTGTCATTATCTTCACATTATCTAGTTTATTTGAGTTATTCTTCCATAGTGTGTTCTTAGTGTTTGACTTAGGCTATCATCCGTTGCGTTATCTTTTCCAAATGTGTTTTCTATTCTGACAGTTTATCCATTTTTGTTCCAGTTCATCAACGGTTTTTGTTGTCACTTTTGCTTTATCTATAGTGCACCACACCTTTTGCTACAGCCCTATTGAATGAAGCTTGTTGACTTATTTCCAATTATTCTATTGTTTTTATCATTTGTAATACTGAGTTGAGAGATGTTCCAGCGCTAAGGTTTAGCTCAAACGGACTCTACACTCTGCTTTCAGTGTGTTGCCATCGTCATGCTCTTGCTATTCCCTCTCCTTTGGACGCTTCACTGCAGCTGTCAAGGATAACGGTTCTCATCGTTCCAGCAGGCGATTTGTTATTAATGGCGTGTTCGAAGTTTGATTTTAGAGAGAAAAACCTTCGAGGACACTACTTTTTGTCGAACGTAGCGAGGTCACATTTGCGTGCTCGCCTCAATGAAACTGGAATCGTTGTATTGTGTCATACATGCTTTGTGGTTGCGTCTACTGTATTTTCTGTTTGGAAAAGAAATGAATGCGATTTCTAGGTAGATTTAAGCATTCTCGAGGAATTTGTGGGTTGGGAGTAATTGTTTGTGTATCGCCTGAGCTGTGAAATGAGAAAGAACCGTTTGCAGGATAGTTTTAGGTAGATGCTTGAATGCAGGTTATTCTTCGATTTGGACTTGTCAACCCTCAGGGTTTGTGGAAAGTGTGATTACAGCTCTTCTTAGAGTGAAGTTAAGACGGCAGCCCTTTGGGGCGGAGTTGTGGTCTAAGTCTAATCAGCTAGACACCGTTGTGAATTATAATGCTACCGTGAATGGTCGTCGATGTTATTTGGGTCTATATAGTAAGTAGTATATATAATGTGTATAACTAGTATGAGTGGATGGTTAGTGTCATTTTTTGTAGAAATGGGTGGAGAATGGCCCCCCAGGGTGAAAATTTGTTTTCTTCGACGGCAGCAAGAATTCACTTAGTGCGAATCTCGCTAAAAGCCTCCTAATTGTCGTCTCAGCACGGCGAATGATAGTTGGTAGCTCATGTCTTATAGGCAAAAAATATTAAAGTAGTAATTTGATGGTTGTGGTAGAGGAGGTACCACTACTGATAATAGTGACTCGTTCAGATTAATATGAAAGTGTGAAGTGAGGGTTGTTGTAAAGGAGTTTCTTTGACAATTATGAAAAACTGCACTAGAAGACCAAAGTTGAACACTGCCAAAGCGACAGAAGTTTTGAGGACTATCTTAATACAGTGACCACTAGACCAGTGAGGGTTTCTGGAGTTTAGAATTGCATCTAAGAGTCCCAAATGGAACAAAAGTGATGGCTCATAGTTAGTTTTGAATAGTTATATTCGCATCTTTCCTAGGTTCGGTAGTTTAGACTGAAGAAACCGCATTTGTGATTACATGTTGAACTACGTGGTTCTTGAAATGTAGGTGACCAGAAAAGGGATGTTTACCAAACTGCCTAAGGACTTATATTACCACCTTTTTTAATTTAAAAACAAGAGTGTATGGTCGATTAGGCTTAATGTGTGTTCCCAAGGTTATGAGGAAGGCGAAATCCGCAGAGATATTAGCCGGTTTGAATGTATTTGTCAATCACGTAGCATCAGCACATAGCAAGAATTACTGATCGGAAGTTTTTATTCATGGTGTGATGTGTAGATATGGAGATGGGATGGATTTAAGCAACACCACATCTTTAGAGGAAGAAGAGTACACTTTCTGTTCACACGATGTTTGATGGATTTAAGCAAAGGAAGAGCAATGATGCACTTAACGTGTACATTGGTGGTTTGGTAGGAGTTCTTCCATTAATAAAGCCTTTTGAACTTACACCAGCGCTGCCCAAGGCGGTTATCACACTTTTTCTCTCGATATCTATTTTTAGATGACCTTCCCTTGATAGAGATCCAACTTTTTTCAGCTCGGACAAACTCGTCAGGACAAGGATCGTCAAAATGATGCCTAGATGACCTACTGGTTAGGGTTAGGAACCATGTTAAGCAGAAGGATTCTGTTGAGACTGTGTGGTGCTAGTGATTCTAGAGTGTAGTCTTTCCGATAGTTATCGTTGCGTATTTGGAACGTTTTTTACAGATTCGGGTGTGGGGACTATTTAGGCATAACGCTCTTTCTGCTTACTACTTCATGTTTATCCATTCATATTAACGACTCCAGTGGATTTTGTGCTTTCAAGAAATGAGATATCTGAGGACGTCAGCATCATCGACTAGTTTTGGAACGGTTATGGTTTCTTAGAGTTTTTTGCAGAAACTAGATTCTGTGGAATTAACGCCTGATTATATGCTTGAGTCATGGGAAGAATGAATATGCGCCTCAGCGGGAGCCAGTCTGGCTGGGCTGACATGTGATTAGTATCTAGAAAAAAGCCGAGTATCGATGTAACCTCGATGGAAATGCGTCATGAAGTGGGACGAATTGAATTCATCTGGAAAGACGATTGCAGATGAGTGATTAAGAGTAATCATTTACGGTATTCCTCGTTCTCGAAGTCAGTTAGTAGCATATGATGAATTACATCCACTTGTTGGACTGTCTAGATAATATGAGTGTAGAGTGTTACGTGTTACCGACTTCTAAAAGGGTACTTCAAAATTTTAACACAGAAGATCCAACGCCACGTAAAAAGTAGTTGTCGTTCGTGATCGTTTATTTCCAACTATGCAATAATCACTAGGTACAGTGTGGAACGATTGGCCCTAAGAAAAGATTTAGTCGTGGAAAATGTGGAAAATCAAGAAGAAAAAGAAAGCAAGAGTCATAATGCATACTGTACGGTACACATAGAAGCACGAGTGGAAACGGGTTGGAGAAATGGTACGGTAAAATATAATAGCAATCTCCTGTTCGATGATGTTGAGTTATTCGCGATAGAGCCATTAAGTTACCTGTGAATTAATGCAGGTGGTTCGTAACATCCAGAAAAAATACATTGGATATTTGAGTTTCTGAGGAATTTGCGTCGGAAGTCCTTTCGAATTACACTTGTAGGTTGCCAAAAAAGTGGATCGTTGGCTTCTTAAGGAACTGGCGGTTTGTACATTGTCGAGTGGCTTCCTAAACAGTTTTGCGGAAAAGGTGCAGCATTTTTAATCGAGAGACACATTCTCTTAGTGTATTCACGGGTAATAATGGACAAGAATAATATGTCAACGTGCTTTACATGGTGAGATTAAAGACGCCCCATGGCTTGGTGAATACATCATATAAAGGATAAGAGGATAAAGCTCAGCGTTCGTCAATCCCTGATGGATGCGCCATGCATTCGACTTCACTAAGCATCGTTGGAGGTGAATGAATGCATATCTGGCTTTCACAGTAAGTTGTGGTGGCCTGCCGATGTATCGAGCCAATGGTGGTATCCTTCCAAACAAGTCTGGTACCAGTTTGCCACCGTTGACGGTTGATAGTAGAGTTAAGTAAAAAACAGAAAAAGCCAGAGGGCCTGGTGTGATGGACAACACATTAGCGCCCAACGAGGGTATTCGCAGGTTTGAACACCAACTAAGATTCCGAGTTTTCTCATACCTCGGCATCCCTACGGTTGTTGAAGAATGTTTTCGAGTTTATTCTATTTAGCAAATGGGGAAAATAACACTTTATAAGTGACAATCATAACGCCTTGTACCACTCTATGTAAAAGCAGAGACGCTAAAACAAAATATGGTATTAACTACGCATTTAAATGAAATGAAAGAATAAAGCTCTTGACGCTGATCAGTCCTTGAGGGATGTGCCATGCATTCGACTTCATTAAGCATCGTTGGAAGTGATTGGATGCATATCTGGCTTTTACAATAACTCGCAGTGGCGTACTGATGTATCGAGCCAGTGCTGCTATTCTCGTAGACAAGTCTACTACCAATTTAGCGACCCCGGAGGGATGGAAGGCTTGCTGAGCGTTAGGCGAGGAGATCGATTCCATGTGTATTGCAGGATATCCCCGACCACTGGTCTACACACCCTTGTACATGCATCACGTAGCTCCCTTTAAAGGTCGTGATTTTAATCTGGTTTGAGCGTCTATTAAATTAGTAAACGGAATTTGGTTGTATACTGTTCATAAACACAGATCCGTGAGTGTTGTTTCCTTACCTAAAATCGGAGTTGTATAAATTACAGCTCATTTGGGCTTGCTCCCGAAGTAAATCAAGCCCATGCAGCAGGGTCCCAAATTGCTACCAGGCCTGATTGGAAGGACACAAACACAGGTAGTTCGGTAGAACCTGATGAATCATTGTATAGGCATAGAATACGTGTTTAGTCAGCTCTACGATGCTACATAGAGACGAAATTACGACACGTCCTTTAGGCATGGGTCAAGAGTGTAAGCTTTATCCAAAATTTGCCCGCATTAGGTTCGTGAACCTCAATTCATGAGTTTCTGAAGCAAAGTAGTAGAATGGGTCATTTGAGTTGGGTCACAAATGGTCGGAACTGGTTATGAAAACATGTAAAGATTGAGAACAGTTCTAGACGATGTATTGATAGCTTATGGATGGATTACTGTATTTCTGACTACAAACACCAGTAATCACTTGGTAATATTCAATATTCTTTGGAACATTTCGTATAGGATGTCTAAAATCTGGCGCTATACACCAGAGTAGAGAATGAATTCCTGTTCAAAAGAAGCGATTTTTCAAAGAATATGGACGGTAAAGACATTAAAGACCTTAGAGTCCTTTAATCAATGGTATGTATTTGATGGCTCCTGTTGCACTTAGCAGTTTGAGAAGGTAAAATTTTTACATAAGAGAGTTTCGTAGTAAACCCGAGTTGAAGGCGAGTTGCTAAACAAATCGTGTAGATGCAACGCTTACGA